AAACTGTACTTCCAATTTGATTTGAAACTGTCTCATTGCTATATGTTTATCAATAAAACTTTGAAAAGAAAAAAAAATGATCTCTGCAGCCAGGTATTGTGGCACACACCTGTGACCCCAGAGCTCAGCAGGCTGAGGCAGGAGGATCATTGTGAGTTCCAAGCCAGCCAGGGCTACAGAGTGAGCTCAAGGCCAGTATATCCTGCATAGTGAGACCCGGTTTAAAAATACAAAAATAATTAATTTTTTAAAACAATCTTTGGGGACTACCAATGTTGGATGTGTGTATTAAATATGAGATTTGGCTAACAATAAGAATCCCCTTTCTGTTTTGTGATGTTTTGCAACTTGTCCTGTGTTCCTATTGCAAGTTATACTTCCCTTAGTTTTGTTTTGTTTCCTCCTAAGCTGGGGTTTCTTTGCTGTCACCTGTTCACTTTGCCAAGGAATTAGGAATTGGCCAAAGTTGGCCGAAGGCTAAAAATCCATAGATAGGAAAATGTTTTCCCTTTTCTCCTTTCTCCCTTCTTCCCTCCTTTCTCCTTTCCTTTTCTTCCCTCTTGCTGTTGACCTTCTCCCTTCCTTTCTTGTTCCTTCTGTTATTCCTGTTTCCTTCTCTCTTTCTTCCTCCCTCTTTCTTCCTTCATTTCTTCTTCAGTGCTGAAGATTGAACCCAGGACATTGTGCCTGTGGAGGAGGAGAAAATTTTAAAATCAGAACACAGGGCCTGCAATGTAACTCAGTGGTAGATCACTTGCTTAGCTTGTGAAAGGCTCTGAGTTCAATCTGTAGCACTGCATAAAAATAAAAGTGAGACATCTTAACTAAGAAAAATTCACTATAAAAGGAAAGAGAAGGATAAGAACAAAGCAGAGAAGAAGAGCCTGATTCTCCAGGGCTTTCACCAGCTGGTCTTGTGGCAGCGGGGAGCTTTGTCCAGGCTTGAGTGTGGCTTAGGACCTGTTGCAGGGAAAGGATTTGGCCTGTAATTGGAAAAGAAACAAAATGTCACTTGCAGCCAGCTTGGAAGTTTTTTTGGTAGTTTTGAAATTACTCCCTCACATTGCTGGAATGCTCGAGAAGGAGAGAAGAAGAGGAAATAAGGGAATGGGTATTTTAATTAATTTAACTTTCTGGTTCATTCAGCTAAGTAAGTGCTCGTATGACTGTTAGGCTCAGAATGTGGCTAGGTGCCTCAGCAGAGAAAAACCAGGAAGTGCACAAAGGGTTTCACACCTGATCTTTTCTTCCCCTTTTCCCTCTTTCTTCACTAGCCTTTTCAAAGTACAGTAGTCTTTTTCTTTTTCTTTTCTATTTTAACAAGCACAGAAAAGCTAGTGTGGTCTGATCTCCCCTTCATATATCTCTGAAGCTATAGGGTGCCTAGTATAAGTAGATGCTCTGTACGTCTGTCACCCCACTGAATTGTGTGATGCAGGTAGGAGAAATCAAACAGAATTCATATTTATCCCAAGACATATTCTGAAAGTTGATTCAGTTGACAAAGTGTATTTTCTGGGCAACAGATCCATTTTTTTTAATGTAATTTTATCTTGAAAAGTACAAGCAAAGCAAGAACAAAAATCAGAAACAAAGAAACAGGGCAACATACAACAGTACATATGTTATAGATTTTCAAATCAAGAATAGTTGATCAGATCCATTTTTTAGTGAGTGTTTGAGTAAGAAGCCATGGCTCACCTAATTGGTCTTATCTTAGTATCTCAAACCCATCATTACGGCATTGACTAAGTAGAGCTTGCTTTCTGCTGCCTCCTTTCCATGGATGACCTCATGTGCGCCTTCTGACACAATAAGTCTGGGATGTGTCTTGTCACAGAGCCCTAGGTCAGCGAGCAGGATCTCAGCCCTCATATCCACCAGGACCCACACCTTGGACAGACTGAGGGTGTTGCTCTTGGCTGCACCTCAGTCTACAGAACTTAAACCATTGGCCAGGGCAGCCTGCAGCCTGCCGCTCAGAAATTGTCCCAGAAGCCGGCTCCCTCCATGGGCTTCAATTCTTTACATCCAGGCCGTTCTTTCTGGGCAGCCGCTTCCACATGGCCTGAGACCCCTGCCTCCCACTTCCTGTGGCTGGGCTGACTTTGGACTTGGCAGCAGGAGCCACGACCCTGCAGAGGAGCCTGCGGGGCTTGTCCAGGGAGGCTGTGACAGGGCAGGTGCCAAGTGGAGCCCGGGGTGGGGTGCTGGTGCCTGAGCTCTGGGCAGGGCTGGTGCAGATTGTGGAGGATACAGAGGCAGGGAAATAAGGTGTTACTACTCTAGTGCAACCTCTGAGTTTTGGTTGGAGAAAATAAAGTCAAATAAAGTCACTGCAAAGAGAACGCTAGCCAGTGAGTCGTTTAGAAGGACAGTTCCAAAGGCAGAAAAGAGCACATTTGGGAGATGTTATTCACAGTGAGGAGCTTCTAGTAGCAGACAGGAAGAGTGCAATAAAAAACCCTCATGAAGCAGAGAAGTAAAGCTTTAAAATTGTCATGAATATATGTTTGTAGTACATAGTGTTACCTTCCCTTGGGGAGTGGGTCCACTCAGTTAATGCATCTTTATTCTCTTTTTAGTTCTTTTCTCTCTCTTTCCCCTTCTATCTCTTGGTCCCCTTCCAATCTACAAAAGATCAGTCTCTCTGTTTCTTAGCATCTCTCTTTTATTTTGCTAGCTTATTTTTACTTTGGGTTTATCATGTAAGAGAAACAATATGTTACATACACTTGTGCATCTAATTTATTTCACTCAGCGTCAGTTTTCCTACAGATGACTCAAGTATATCCTTCTTTATGGCAGAGTAGTTGTTCGTGGTGTATAAATACTGTGTCTTTTATCCATGTGTCTGTTGATGGATGTGTAGCCTGCTTCCAGGGTTTACCTATTATGGATTGTGCCGCTATAAATGTAGGTATGCGTGGATCACTATGCTGTGATGTCTTTAGTTCTTTGGGAAAGATAGCCAGAAGCGGAATAGTTGGGTCAAATGAAATTTCTAGTTTTAGTGTTTTGAGGAATCTGCATTGTGGTCATATGAGTTTGCATTTGTGGAAGCTTGAAGGAGAGATTGGATTGATAAGATCCTTTTTAGCCCACTTGCAGTATTGTATGGAGCGGCCATTGCTGGCTAGCAGAGGTAGGAACGCAGAAAGCCCTGGACCTAGGGGAAGACTGGGGTGACCTTTGGAGTTTGAAAACTCAGCCAAAAATCAGACAACTCCAAATACATGTTGTGAGTGAGCTAGCGAATTTGCTGAGCCTTTCACCTTGAAGCTGTCAGCTGCCCACACCATCCCACATTTAACAGATTGCTGACCGCACCCTTCTTCATATCTGCCCCTCAGAATAAGAGAAAGGCTTTCCTAGGATTGCGAGGCATTTAATACCTATCACTGAACAGGTAAAATGCCATCCTCTAACCACAGAATTTCAGAGCTAGAAACAGCCTTAGACACCATCTGGTCTATTGCTACATAATTGTATTTCCCTGAAACTCTTCCTGGTCTAAGAGATATAAATAAATTTTTAGTCTTAAAAACTGTTGTCACTCTTTACCCATTCTGTCCCTGCAGCATTATCATTTCTACTGTCATTTGTGGTCTAGGTTGATCAGTCTAGATTCTTGTAGCTCAAGAGCTTTTTCTTTCTGGGCATGGAAAATATAATCCCGCTACTTGGGAGGCTGAGGGAGAAGGAGAGCTAGAGTAAGGCCAGTCTGGGCGATTTAGTAAGAACCCCTACACACACCTCAAAACTGCAAACGAAAAGCTGGGTGTCACTCAGAGTGACGGCTGGGATTGGGCCCCAGCACAGTAAGGCAGTGAGAGGGTAGACACATAGCTCTGTAGTTTAACATTCTGTCAGCATGCTTGAGACCCTGCTTAAACCCCTATCAGTGCAAAGAAAAAAAACTGAAAAGTTGAAACATCCAATTCTAAGACGGAGTGAAAGAGATTGAATTTTGTTTCCCACACGAACTGTCAATTGATAAACAGAAAATAAGGTATTTAGAAACTATTTTCAAGACACTGGACATCAAACAATGAAGGGACCCAGGAGAGCAAGGACCCAGGTGTGGTGATCTGTGACCTCTCTGGTGGTTGCCTGGAGTCTCAGAGCCACGAGAGGGAAGGCAGCCTTGGGAGGCTGGTGGGCCCTCAGGTGGAGGGGTGTCCCAAGGATCCCAGGTGCTGAGGTGGCTGTGTCCTTTGCAGAACAAAGGGGCCAATGAGGAGCGGCACAGAGGGCTCTGGAGGCCCACGGAGGCCCCTGTAGGACAGCAGGGTCCTAATTAGTGCATGCATGTGTGAAAATCACAGGAGGCCAAGAGAATACCTAAAAGGATCTGCACTGACACAGCCTGTGCCCGTGCAGACTGGGAATCCACCTGTGTCTTCCCGGGAGACCAGAAACTTCATCTTCCCCAGAGCATTGGGCAGGGTACCCAAGAGAAGAATTGACCCTAAACACTTCTCTGATTCTGCCTAACAAATCTTACAAGAAAATCTAAAACTATTTCCAAGAAACTACATTCCACAACAAAGCTCAAACATATGTCATCAGGTGGGGTGGTGCACACCCATAATCCCAGCACTCAGGAGGTTGAGTCAGGACGACTGCTTCAAGCGCAAGCCTAGCTTAGCCTATGTACTGAGTTCAAGGCCAACCTGAGATATTGAGATCCTGTCTCAGAAAAAAATAAAATAAAATAAATGATCATACATTTACTTCCCAGTGAACTTTCTTATTTTATATGAGATCCCAGACTGGCCTCTAACTTGCAGTGCTCTTCCTGCCTCAGCCTCCTGAGTACTGGGAGTATTGGGCTTTAAAATGCCTCTACATGTCTGTTGAAGACTTAGATGTTTAAGTCTCACTGCCAGACTTCTTTACAGATACTGTTGTATGTGTATCAGTTGCCTTTGCATTTTTGGAATTACCTCCTTTACGTGTTTTCACATTTCAAACCTCTCTCTCCTGGTTTTCCCCAGTTTGATGCCGACCGAAATGAAGACGAGGTGTTCTATGACATCAGCCTGGCTGTTGACAACAAGTTATTTCCAAACAAAGAGGCTGCAGCAGGTAAGTCACCATGTCCCATGGACAGCAGCACACTGTGACCACCAGCCACATGTCTGGGGCTTTAATTAAAGGGGAAGCTCAACAGGCACTGGGAGGCTCATCGTGGCCCTGGCCTTAGAGCCATATTCTTGCTGACTTAAAAATAAAGGTACAAAACACAATATAGAAGGAGACCAGTAAGTCTGTTCCATTCCTTAGTTGAAGCTTTCCTTCCTGTCCTTGCAAATCTAAGTTATCAGGACATTGCAGCACAGTGTAACAGAGGGCTGTGTTAGGATAACAGAAAAGAAAGAAAAAGGAAAGCAAATCTAACCTAAGCATGCTTTGGGCAATGGTTGTAAGTCACAGTTCTAGCCAGGTGTGGTGGCCCAGTGCTATTGCCATGGGTGATGGGGGTCCCTGGACAGGTTTCCATGTTCCTGTCCCTCACCAAAAATTGGACGTGACATACAAGGTGAAGGAAAAAGTAGCTACGTTTAATAGAAGCATAATACAAACTTTGTGTCATAAAGGTATAGAAATATGAGTCTGCTGGACCCCTGTTTATTCTTGAAAATATTTCTATTGATGAATTGTTAAATTTAATTTTATGAGCTTTATATTAAATGATGAGTACTTAACAAAAAAATCACAAAAATAAAGTATTGTGTTAATATTTATGGTTTATAAAAAAGCATCAGGGCTGGGGAAATAGCTCAGCAGCTTAAGTACCTGCCTGGCAAGCACAAGGATCCAGGTTTGATCCCCAGCACCACATGCCATGTTGGCCCCAGGCACCAAGCCAGCCACCCAAACTGGACATGGTGGCACACACCTGTAATCCCAGCGCTGGGGGAGGCTGAAATGGGAAGATCACTATGAGACCAAGCTGTATAGCGAGACCCTATACCAAATAAATAAATAAATATGAATGAATGAATGCTTTTTTTCCATTTTATTTTTTTATTTTTTTTATTTTTTTTCAAAATTTTATTGATAAACAGATAGCAATGAGACAGTTTCAAATCAAATCGGAAGTACAGTTTCAACAAAT